TCGTTCGAAGTGCCATCTAGATTTTCGTTTCATAACTGTGCGTTCCAAAGAGCAGAGATGAAGCGCCATCTAGACGCCGTGCTTCGAAACGTACGTAGCGATCCCGACCCGATTTCACCGTGCCCGATTCCCATAGAATATAGAATACGCTACAGGTACCAAAGCAGCCGTCCGGCGGTGCGTCGAGCGACGCTTGGCGAATCATGGTGAGTGAGGGGGGGGGGGGGGGGGGGGTACTGTTCGTGCATGCAGCGTCTATGAGCAGTTCCGTAACTGAGCTAATCTAATAACAGTGGAGTAATGTCACTTCAGCCATATCGGTGCTTAAAATCGTGGTGGCCAGTCACCTGAAGCTTCATCTGAAATCGTAGGAAACGTTTTTTTGTTTTTTATAAGTGTTAAAAAAAAAAGGTCGCGACCGAGCAAAGCGATATCCCCTGAGCTTCCTAACACCGCCTCTAAACCTGGGGAAGTCGCATTTTTTTAAATTGTGGTGGTCAACACTGGAGTTTGTTCTGCACTAAGCACCAAGATGGCGGCGCCCACTACCAGATCAGGAAACGGAGGGCCGATACTCTAAGCGCAGCTCATTTAGTGGCTCTACTCCAAGCGTAATGTGTCATTTAAAACAACTTGAAAAAAAAAAGGGGGAGAAGAGAGCCCATGATTCCGGGCGTATTTGGGGCTATTCATTTGGTCTTTTGTTGGCATTCAGAGGCTACATTTTGTTTGGGCCTTGCTTTCTCTCCTGTATTCGGTCGCTTGCCTCCAAGTCTGCAATCGGTTCAGCTTTGCCCTAGAGTCTGACGATCGCTAGTGCCGTAGATTCTTTTGGCAATAAATATTTTTGAAGCTTGATATATGTGTTTGAGGTACTGAATACAAGACACTGAGATATGTAATTAAGATAAAGTAGCAAATACCCTGAAGAAAATGTATTTCGAAGATAGCAAAATACTGCCAAAAGTACATTAAATACAGTATCTCGAGTAGAGTGATTAAAATAGGCACAATTCTGTTTATAGCGCACCTGGGTTCGTCAGCAGCAAGGCGCCTATAAATAACAATTGGCCACCGTCAAATTACAGACAACCTAGAGTTGATTTCACCTTAAATGGGCACTGAAATCCACCCCCCAATAAACATTTTCAAGTGTCAGAGCAAGACATGCCCGCGCAAAACAACCCATTCCCCGAAAATATTAACAACATTGACGCGATATTTGCGATGTGAGATAGGATCGAGTGACTCTAAAATATGTTTCTACTTCGAATTGTCCACCCCGAAATAGAAGACTGGTTCGAGTCACTGGTATGAGTTTCGTAACGTAAATATTGCGCCAAGTGCTTTTATTTTATGAAAATTAATTTTATGGTACACGCGTCCTCGCCGCAGACGACGTCAGCGGGGCGAGGTAAGCACAAAACAGAGATCGACGGTCATGGAAGATCTTCGCGGGCTTAGTTTCGGTTTGATGTCATATACGTAAATGACGTTTCCGCCCTTTAAATCCCACGACATCTTTTTAAATAAAAAAATTACTTCACGTCTAGACAATAATAGAGTCGAACATCAATTCTCCAACTCCCTCATTCCCCAAGAATTAAAATCTAAAAAGCTAATCAAACTGTTTTTATTAATTATATTACTAAATAACCAACTTGGCCTTTTTTGTGGTTCCCATGGCTGCCAGCGTAACCAAAGGCCTAAAAGAACTCTAACGCAACTTTACTTGCGCTAGAGATTTACGCGGGCTTGGTATTGTCCTCTCCATTTAATTTATGAAATTGCTAAAAACTAAATCTGAAGTCGTTCTAATTTGACGCTAAACATACTATGTAGGAACCTCAAACAACAAAGCGTCCTTGACTGGGAGGTGCGGATCAGTGAACTACGTTAATCTGCGGGAGACTGACGTGTTGTTTGCAAAACGCTTGAGAGCTAGTGCCGAGGAAGCTTTCCATTGTTGTCCGGTTCGAGCAATGTAGAACGCGTAACTTCCCGGAAAAGTCCGCTTAAAGATTTTGTGGGTTTCCTGACCCACATGAGAGTGTCTAGTCGGACGCGCTGTCGCAGAATCGACTGTCTGGCAAGCAGCGACAAGTTTTATCGTGTTAAAAAGAGATTTTTGCGAATATCGACTTCCGTGTTCGAAACGAAGGAAGTCAGGACCATGGATTATTGTACGCATTCATATTAATTACATAAGCTGTCGGACGTAATAATAAAAAAAATAACAATGCAACGTGTTTTCTTTAATGGCTGTCTATGTGCACCTTATTTTTATTGTGCTGGATTTCTGAGTTCTAAATATTTTGTAAATGTCTTGTGCAAATTGAATTATTTTGTGTTTATAACAGTAGATGAATTTCGTATGATTGATATTGCTTGAATATTCGTAGCATGACATTTTTTCACTTCAGTAAATGACATGAACATTCGGTTTAACGTCAATCTTCGATGTCTTAAATATCAAAAGCTAAAACTAAAATGTTAAGACTCGCGAGCTAATAGTGATTACAGACACCTAAAATTAGAGAAGCAAAACTATGACACTCTGTCATTGTACACTTTAGTCAATTGGCTTCTCTGCCGTCTACTAAAATTACTGCAGTGTCCGACGCATCTGCTTTCTCCGTTGTAAAGATTGTAGATATCAAATATTAAACACTGCGTAATTTGTTTTTATAAGCTCAAATCTATGATGAGAATATAGCACTCAGAATCAAGAAAATAATACATTTGTAATATATCGTTTAGCCTACGTATCACACAGCAATGACGGTTCTCCGCATATAAATATAGTAGTGATCAAACTAGTGATTATAATCTTTCTATCAATAAGTGGGGCAAATAAAGAATACCGACTAAGAAAAGTTAAATATTTAGTGACTCAAACGGTGTCACTAATTTTAAGTCTACGAAAAAATGACTACATGCACAATATCTTCTGGAATACCGAGATATCTTACACACAAAAACGCAAAGGACAAGGACAGAACAAAGATGGTGGTAGGAAGAGCGCTAAACATATTTAAGGTGCTTACCCAACTAGCCCAATAGTTAATTGTAATGCCAGATATTCCACAGATAGTTGTTAATGTTCAGAGACATATAACTTGATAACGTCATTGTATAGCCCTGTCAAACATCGTTTTGGGAATAAAATACCAGGCTTTTTTTATGGCGCCAGATTTTAATTACATTTAAACATTAATAGCACAATGCGACTAGTAATCGAAATTTTTTTCTGAAATATTGATGTGTTATGTCCCGTCATTTTGTTTATTGCAGATGACACATTACTTTCTTTACACCTTTCACAAATAGTTTCGTCTGAGGTTAAGATGTACGTTACTTCAATAAAAAAGTAAAAAATATATATGTATATTTTAGTGTAACTTTAATATACAAAAAAAAAATTGGAGTAGATCTAACTTTGAAAGAGCCATTGAAGGCTGGGAACAATAATCCACGAGATTACCATACTTTGAACCTGATCACAGAAGAAGTAAAGATATAATCCAATGAGAATTGACACGTTTTGATTCGCCCTACACATTTCTCCGTGGTAATAAGAGACCCCCCTAGAGATTTAAGAATTCAAGGTGTAACACGTGATAGATAAAAACTAACCCTGTCAGCGGTTGGTACTCGTCTACGACCATCATAGATAGCCGCTGATATCAAGGTTAGTGTCAGCTCGACACGAGTTTAATCTTGTGAAAACGATTATGAGGAAGCGCCACTCAGAAGGTCTGTTGTATACACTTCCTGAAGCTCAACAAGACGTGATATCCTTTTCCGCAATTTCGCTCTTACCCAAGAAGCAGCATTATCTGCCCCCATCACTGTCGATCTTGCGCGTGTACCCAGGCAACCTGGCGGCCGCTGCTATCTTGAACTTCATATCGCTTAGTCTATATAGCAATCAACGCGCGGAAAAACTGGTCGCTCCGTCGCCCGAACTGCTGAACGGTTACACCGCTCCATAATATTTCTTTTGAAATGACTACCGAGCCACAAATACCGTATATTTCATTCGATGTGGTAGTTGCAGCTACGGAAAGGGTTAAACTACGAGAGCGAATTTCAGCCGAACCATTTTCTGGCACACTAACAAAAAGACCTTTCGTCCATGTTCTTTCAATATCGCTACAGACAGCTTTTAAGACAACCCAGAAAGGAATATCTGTTTCACCTCAGCTCACACCAGCACTACTTTCATGCCTAGATTGAATCAAACTGATTCTTCATCGAACATGAAAGATGGCTTGGAGCTATAATAACACCAGTTAGAATAAATAAAGACTATGAACAGCCTCTTCAACATTCTTGTAACTTCATCACACTAGGTTGAAGCCAACGCGCAAACTCAGTAATTGAAGGTCCACGTACTATAGAGGTAAACATTTAAGAGTGCAGCTCCAATCTTTTTAATCTTGTAGTAAAAAAAACAAATATTTCTATTTAGCATAATCGGAATGAATATAAAAAAACCTGGCATTAGCAAATTGAAATTGCGGCAAGTGAAGGGTTCTCTCCGGGCACATGAAGAAAATGTACTAGTTGTACCATCATTGCATTCAGTTTCCCACACCGCGTTGCCTTAGGCGAGTACAATGAGCACGAGGCCCCGTCAAACATTTGACGCAGCGCTCGTGTATATTCTGTGACGTCATCACCTCAGCGTGATGACGTCAGTATGCTAGTCCACGTGCTTTGATTATTTTGGGGGTGTTGACTTTACGCGCCACTAAATGAAGCAACCCAAGATTTCGGCCACCTGACTTGGCTAGTTGCGTTGACTCACTTAATCAAATTTAGACTGCGCGTCTTCCCACATTGAGATGGAATGTGCTTGGTGATCATGTAAATCTATTTTGTGTTATTCCTTCTTTGGCGACCGCCGCTGCCCTAAACGTTCTCGGCTACAAGCTCCAATGCTCAAGTTCGTGATGAAAACGACGTAGGAAAGTTAATAAAAGTAAACACCTTACTTGAAAACGATGATTCGTCCACCTTCTTCAGCAAGCTTCCACATGTTGCCGAAGCCCCCAAGGTGATGCAATCCCTTTGGAGTAAGTGTAAACAAAACTGTTTGTTTACTTGTGGCTGTATAAGTTATTTTTTAAGTTCGTTTTCATTCTGTTCGCTGCTTAGAAAATCAGCTTTTGTTTTCTCTTTGCTAAGAACGTGGCATGTAGGAAGCTTAAGAAAAGGTGATTAGAGGACAGAAGTGCACAACGAAGGGGAAATGCTGAGCTAGTAGTCAACAAACAAGTTATAATAATTACAACAATAGTTATAACGCCTTTATGTTTGTGTCACTTACTCGAGGACAAACATTAAATGTTTTTTAATCGCTGCACTATATTTTTACAGCATATGAAGTAAACTTGGAGTATTTCACCGTTTTCAAAAGATCAAACACAAAAATAATAATCCATGTACACAGTATTAAAAACCTTTAAAATTATTGAGTTCAAATATAAGGAGGCCTCAATTACATACCGCGTGCTCGGCCAAATATACCATCACGCGGTTTCATGATTGCAGCACGCAATTTTTTATGGTTTAAATGTAATAAATACTGAAATAAAGATATATTTGTTGCACTATAATTTATATTTAGAGATATTATTTCAGCGTTTTATTATTTTTTTTCGGTCTGTGACAAAACTATAAAAACAAAAAAACAGTTTTCTTTGCTGCCCCGGAGCTTCTTTCCCTGCGAGGGGAGTTTACTCTCAACTTTCTGTGTTCTCAATGCGCGACCTTGCAAATAGAGGAATGCATGTATAAAAGCATCTCTTTTGTTAAATTACAATAAGGGAACCAACGCTCCTTGATGTCACAAACATGAAATAAATTGTCCTGAAATTCTAAAACAGAATATTGAATGACCTAACAAAATTCAGTGCTCAAAGGTTTTCATACTTGGAACAAGGACAGCCTAGGGAAAATCCTTAGTGGAATGCTGAAGCCCCCAAAACATTTTTAACTGCCAAGATAAAACACGCATGTCACAAAAAAAAAAAAAGACAAGAAAACTCTAGCGCTAAAAATATGGTTGAAGCGTAACATATACATTGCCAGCTAGCGTAACAAACGGTTCCGAAATTAACTTTTATTCCGGGGAATCACTATATAGAGTTATATTTTTGATGTGGTCCTAACTTAAAATGTTTATTAGAAGCAAAAATTTTTAAATTTGTTTCTGTTGGAGGGAAAGTGCATTTTTTCTAACAGGTCTCTCATCCACAACCTCAAATGTTTTTGTTTGTTTGTTTTTTTCGTTGAGATTTCAGTGTAGCTTTAAAGATTACATTTTAGTTGCGAAGTAAATAAATATGAACTTACCGATATGATTACCATTACATAGCCTACGTAGATAAGGATCATCTGTATCACATCGGTCCATACAACAGCCTTGATTCCGCCCTGAGAAGAAATACCATGGCAAATTAATCATAATGTTTATATTATGTATGTTTTTACACTGTTGTTCAAATATATAATTAATATTTTACACTATTGTTCGAATATATAACTTTTTGATAAATTAACGTCCGAACGTGTCGATCCACGTTAGGAATCGAGAAAGAAATTGAACAAAAATAGAGAAATTCAAACATCATTTGAGTCACGCTTTGTTTTTGTTGTATGGTCGATCATAGAGTGATATAAAATCATCCCTGTTATTCTTACAATGGCTGTGTAGAAGGTGCACACCAGTCCGTTGAGGACGATGGTCATCCAGACGGGAATTCCAGTCACTGCAAGAGAAAAGGCCGGTTTGATATAAAAAGTTTGCGATACTTAAATGGGGAGGGGAGTTCGACAAATAGCGACTTTAAGAATAGCGTACGAAATAAGTTTTGCATACGGAAAGAAATAGCGTCGTCGCCGCTACCACAGCCTCCTCTATTTGTTTATTTATTTATTACATGTTACCCCGCACTGCCAAGAGGCATTATTGAAGGGGGGTGGGGAAGTGTGAGATTTCATGTGCACAAGAATTACAGTCGTCAAATACAGAAACACATGAAAAAAAAACAAGTTCGCAAAAAACACTTATGTTGCAAAATTATAACACTTTAACAAATAAATCCACAATGGTATTAAGCTTTAACCACCAATATAATTTTTCGTACAAGTAAAGGTAAGAAAGACAAAACACAGTATTACAGACTAAGCATTCTGAATACACATTCACAAAGAGAAAATTCACTTTCCTTATTCCCAGCTATCACGTGGCAGTTTATAAAAAAAAATTATCAGACGATGGAATTGAAATAGTTTCCTCTGGCCATTCGTTCCATTGTTTAATGGTATTAGGGAAAAATAAGAATTTGAATATATTTGTCGCAGCTGAAAATTCTCTAATTTTTTTGGAATGATCTAATCTGCGTGACACAAAGTGTGGCAGTTCACTTAATTTAGTTTTATCCAGTCCAGTTTGATCATGATAAATCCTACGTCGAAAGTTTAAGCGGAGGCGGCGTCTTCTAGAGTTCAGGGGTTCCCAGTCTAAGTGATGTTTTAGGGCAGTAACACTTTGTTTCAATTTGTAATTTTTGTAACGAACTTAGCAGCTTTGCTCTGGATTTGTTCAATTTTCTCTTCTAGATAGCGTTCTTTAGGGTCCCAGAGTACACAAGCGTATTCTAATATAAGCCTCACATTGGAAAGAAAAAGGGTTCGTTTTTTTAAAATTGGAAGCACAATCGCGAAAATTCCTCCTCAAGACATTTAGCGCGCAGATAGCTTTCACTGTCACGTAGTCTACATGCGCGCTCCACAATAGGTTTTCCGAAAACTGAACACCTAAATATTTTACTTTGTCCACCTTTTGTAGTGGGGCGCCATCAATTGAATAGCTAAGAGAAAGAGGTCGTCGTTTTCTGGTAAATGTTATATGATTGCATTTGGGAATATTTAAATATTCCTATACTCACAAAGCCTGGCAGTTCGACGACGGAGCCATAAAGTGTCCGGTCGCAGATTTGGAGCGCGAGACTCTGGTAGCACATAGCATCAAAGAGACATTTCTCGGGGAACCTGGGACGTCAGTGCACAGCTTTTGCAGCGGCGAGGACCCGAAACACACTTGTTCGCTCGGGAGAAGTGTGTTTCGGTGTCTCGCCGCAGCGGGGCGCCAGTCAGGTGGCTCTCCTCTCATCCGTTTTCTGCCGCTCCACCTTTTCCATTTCGGCGGCCGCTTCTCGTGGCGATCTCCCAGGCTCTGTCAGTATATAGGAGGCTATGCTATAGGCTATGCAATCTGTGACAGCGTTCTTCTTGAAGTTGACAACCTCCCAACGTGAACACTGCATTGATGTTATCGTGAATCTTAAAGCGATATAAAATAATTTTGTTTATTTATCGATACTGCGGCTCTCCATTACGAGACACTTCCGGAGTGGAATTGATGGCAATATACATAAAAGTAAACACGAGCATTTAAAAAGCGGTTTAAGGAATTTCGTCTTTAAGTGTAACGGTAAAATGGTCGACGAAAGAAATTGTTACAATATCATTTTCAAGTGAATTCCAATCTTGACTGCCCGCGGAAAAAATATTTGAAAACCTTGTTCTTAAATTTGTGTTTATAGTTCTGGTGCAATTTATCCCGGTCTATTATATTTTCAGTGTTTATCGAAACACCAGTGGCCAGCGCGTCGAACGAGCACACGCGTAGCCTCAGCTCCGCCCCTTAAGTCCCCTCCCCCTTTACCTCTCGCCATTGTCCCAACCTAACGCAAATCGAAGGGCGAACAAAAATTGGCATCAGCCCGCGAACGCCAAAGTTTTATTCAGTTCGCTTGCCAGGCCAGCCTGACAAAAGGACGATTCAAGTGAGTTGAGCTTGTCGTACGTCGTACCAAACGTTTGAAACTATGCAGATACTGTCGAGACCGGTTATAACAAAGTCAATTATTACGAAATCGCGGCTACAGCGAAGCGATCAAAATTGCCCATCCCCTTTTGCACTTCGTTATAACTGAAGTCGGTTATAAAGAAATAGCGGCTACAGTGAAGCGATCACGATTTCGCATTCCCTTTTCCACTTCGTTATAACCGAAGTCGTTTATAACGAAATAGCGGCTACAGCGAAGCGATCACGACTTCCCATTCTCTTTTGCACTTCGTTATAACCGAAGTCGGTTATAACGAAATAGCGGATATAGCGAAGGGATCAACATTTCACATTCCCTTTTACTTTGTTATAACCGAAGTCGGTTATAACGAAATAGTGGCTACAGCGAAGCGATCACGATTTCGCATTCCCTTTTGCACTTCGTTATAACCGAAGTCGGCTATAACGAACTAGCGGCTACAGCGCAGCGATCACGATTTCTCATTCCCTTTTGCACTTCGTTATAACCGAAGTCGGTTATTAAGGAATAGTGGATATAGCGAAGTGATTTCTGATTCCCGTTGACTTCGTTATAACCGGTATCGGCAGTACTGCGCTGATAAGTGTGCACGGTCATAATCTGCCGTCCACGAAGCACCTTATTTTTATATGACACGATCGAAGTTCCTGAAACCGTAGGCGATTCTTTTAACTGTCTCAGAATCATTTGTTACTTTCCGCCAAAAGTGCCAAGAGTTTATGTTCTACTATGGCTTATTCTATCATAAGTGTGAACGATTAGGTTGAATGTGTGGTTTTAAACACGACGGCAAATTTTATTTTTGTATTGCCTCATTCTATTGTTGTACTCGATACTTAGACTCTGAATAAATTTGGAGGCAGAACAGCGCTTACCCGAAAGCAGTGTTACTCTTATGCACCGAGAAATTGAGGGAAAGGAGGAGACGAGAGGGGACGTCAGAACATCGAGCTCTGATTGGAAGGATTAGTGGGTAGACTTAGATGTAGCTCATAGAGTTATTGTAATGTACGCTAGAGGTTCAGCTGGAGATAGTTGGCTGTGGCAAATTAAAACAGACCGCAACCAGGCAGAAATTGATTTCCGGTAATGCTTTTCTATAGGAAAAGGCGAGTGCATTTTCTCTCTTTGCTTGATTATCAGAGCAAACAGTAGGAATAATTCGGACGTACTAGGTAGATTGAAACATTTCTCAGACGCCCAGACGAAAAAATTGGTTAGTTATGGCGTTTTTATTTCAAATTCATGGCAATAAAATGAAAGAAGTTTACAATTCCTTGTAATGCGAAATTAGAGTGCAGCTTTTAAGGAGGAGGAGGGTACGGAGGGGAAGGTATGCGCTTCCTCCTCCTTTGTACTCTCATCTCGTCTTCCTCAGCTGCTTTTCCTGGTCATTCCCTCCTCTTCTCCTTCTCCCGTTAAAATCCCCGCTAAACTTTGCGGAAAAATTGACATCACGTGACCTCATTACCAATTCACCCTCCCTGCTAAATTTAGCGGGGAAAATTATGTCACATGACTTCGTGTCACGTCACCCATGAACAAATTTAGTTTCTCTGCTAGATTTAGCTGGAAAATTGACGTCACGTGACCTCAACACCAATTAAATTTTCCGCTAAATTTAGCGGGGCGATGACGCCGACGGCGAAAGCGACGCCGACGCCGCGAAACGCGGAAACGGGCGTCTAAGAGCTGCGCTCTCAAATGGTGCTAAAAGGGCTTCGTGCGTGGATTTTATGTGCACTGTCGGACACTGTTAGCGCGAAAACTTCGTCGGCGCTTTCCAGCATAGGGAATGTAGGTTCCAAACGAACGATGCACAAGTGGAAAACCGAGAGAGACGGCAAAAACTACGCAGTAAGACAGGATCAGTAACTCCTTGCGTATGCAGACGATCGAAATAAATTGAAGGTCACGTGATATAGTCCCGCTTGCAATAAATAAGTGCCGCTTTATTCTTTCTGCTCATGAATATGGGCAAAGATGCTTGTTCTCCGTTCAAACAATCAGTCACACGCTCGAATTCTATGAAAATAGAAAGAAGTTCGAGAACAGGTGACCGATAGAAGCTGCCCGAGATAGGATATAATAAAAAAAAAACACACACACACACCTTCGATAGCCCACGGGCTTTATTCTTTACGTTTCGAACGTTTTTTAACCGCTCGTAAAGATGCAAGAGGGGGTCAGTTCCATATAGTTACAGGACGGGCATATTAGCAATACATAAGCGTCACAGGAATGCTGGCGAACCGCACGCTCTACATTCCTTTCGATTGTTATCTTGTTTAAAATTGCCGCTCGTTTATACCTACCTGTTATTGGACCAAGTTTCCGACCTGGAATATAGCAAAGTTTAATAGCGAAGGCGTGGGTATACAACTGAGAAGAAAAAAACCCTTGATGAAAACAACAACAACGGACGATTTATTCTTCGACGTTTCGGCCGGAGTCCGGCCTTCCTGAAGAAGGCCGGACTCCGGCCGAAACGTCGAAGAATAAATCGCCCGTTGTTGCTGTTTTCACCAAGAGTTTTTTCTTCTCAGTTATATACACATATATATATATATACACTGTATATATGTAGTACCTAAAACAATTACATATGTGCGATGTTAATAAAGGTACATAGTAATCGGTACTACCCTAATGACAAAAATTGTCTATGTTATTTCCAGCGAAGAGACAAAATGCGCGCGCGTTTTCTTATAGGAATGAACAGGAGCGCCTAAATAGTAGATTGGTTGCTGTCTGCTTCACTTTGCATCACCGAAGTCTCCTAGACACGTGCGCCAGCTGAACCTCTTGCGTACGGTGCGCCCCAAACTTAACGCCGCCACGACATGGTCAGGTTTCTTCCCTTTATGAGCTATTCCTGAACCTAGCGGTCAAACTAGTCGGTGAAGATTTGCGTCCCCGATAAGAACCCAACCAGGGGAAGGTATTCCAGCAGCTGCAGCGATCTATCTATCTTTGGGTAGCATGCAATAGATCAATATTTGCGGAATCGAGTGGCGGCGTTAAGTTTAAGAGGCACTGTACATTATAATAGCTCTATGAGGGCCTTTGTCTCCATTGCACTCGTGGAAGGCGTTCGAACGTGACATACTAACGTCGGACGCCGGCGCTCAGCGTCCTAACGCGTTCGACCAGTGCAGTGGCGACAAAGGCTGCTAGCTAGCTTAAGGCCTACCCACTAATCCTTCCCACCAGAGCTCGGCGTTCTTGTGTCCCCTCTCGTCTCCTCCTCTCGCTCAGTTTCTCGGCGCATAGTGGTGAATGTCTGGCAGCTGAAGGCACCTACTGCCCGAAATTTGTACGTTGGCACGTCCGCACATATACCTCATCATGGCACGTGACATCGGTTTGTCGCGTGATACTGACACGTATCCTGACGCTACGTAACGCAACGTCTGATAACGCAACGTAACGCGATTCTACGTAACGTTACGCGTCAGCACGTAACATAATGTCACGTAGTGGAATGTTAGGTGAAACCACGACTAGACATCATAACGTCAGGTGACATTTAATGTTTCCTAAACAAAATTTAAATGATCGCCCCATAAATAATAGAGTACTGCATTCCATGCATTGTAGGAGTTTATAAAGATAAAGGTTTCTTCAAGTTCTGTAAGGCACGGCTTGGAGTCGCTTGGTTTCAATGCGTCAGATTGGGCTACCGTCGCTGCGTGGATATATCGTTTAATTTACTTCTCATCGTCATTGACCAGGGATTTGCCTGTTTTTGCGACCCTTGTTGAGGGTTATAGTTTAAGAACACCTGCGTGCACACGTTCATACGGATCCCTTGGTAAGCTAATCGCTGCTGTTTATGAAGCACGCGTTGCGAATGACGAAAGTGGAAAACACTGTTGTACTTCAAAAAGCTACCTGCACAGGGACTATGGGAAAGTAAAATGTCACGATAATTTTTGTGTGTATATTGATCTCTCACAGTGTGCTTGGTGCTTTATCATTTGCTGATCGCACACTATTAATTAAAAATGACCCCTCTCTTTCGATGAAATGATCGAATTATTAATCGTAAGTTTTATTGATCAGTTGGCCAACCCTAATAATAATGCGATACAGACACGAGGGTGCCTAAACACACGTTGCTGTTGTCAAATGTCTTCCCCTCTCGTCTCGGGGATAAGTTTTTACTGAGACTGTAGATACGTGATCGAGGATGTAAACATCACTGGGCTGAGTGCAACCCGCGTATAGACCTTTTCATCCTCCTCCGCATGGGCGCTGCCATCTTGGAATCACGTGACGTGGCAGCCATTAGGTTGCTTCAACTTGCTAGTCCGCTCTCCCCTCTGCGCCTTGGCGGATACGTTGTATTCGTGTTTTTCGTCGCGTTTCACTGCGCTTTCTTGCCTTACTTCGGAAACTGTAGTCCGACACGTCTACTCGACGACTTCTGAGGTTTGTTTACTAATAGTGGCGGAACATTCTCAGTAAGAAGCGCGTATTTTTATATCGCGCATTTAGGATTGGAAGGCGTCAAGAATAGTCATCGCAAGGAAACTATCCGTATTTCCTGAAAGTATCTTTCTTTGTATTCATAATATATCGAAAACAATTTCTTTTGATTATGTGAGGAAACTCGCAGAGAGATAGACAACGAACGTTTAACTTGTATTTTATCTGAGGCTAAAAGTAAGGGTACGTCAACATCAACCTATTTGTTTGTTCATAATATCACACCTACATGTGTATAAGATTCTCAATCTTTTTTTTTTTTTTTTTTTTTTTGCGACGTAGACATTCGGTTGGTCGGTTTGCTTATGAAGTTTAAGAAATTGTATAGCATGCTCGCTTCCATTTAGACAGTCATTTAAATGATTTATTGATTACATTTAGATAACCAATGCTTTCCACTTAATTTACCTAACACAAAGGGTGTGACCTCCCGCGTAAGAAACCGCCACATACACTTAACAGTAGCGAGTTTTAGAATAGCGTGCACAAAGGAATAGCGTCGTTTCTATTTGCAAATCCAAAACGCGGTATGGGTTCGGTGCATGCGCAAAAATGCCGACGTTTTTTTTTATTTTTTTTTTTTTTGCTTACGTTGTTTTGTATTTTGTTAGTATCTAAAATCCGCAATAATTGACGCCGAAAAAAAAAAAAAGAGCCGTCTGCATAACAGTTATTTGAGTTCAAGATTGTCGATGGCGAATAGAGGTCTACTCTTTGCGGCTGGCGACGCCGAAATTTATAAAGCGAATTTGTTCTAAGAAATAAATACTTGTTCACACAGGTCTGTGAAGTGGTGCCTAGCGCTAGAATTCAGCCAAACTTTCCGAGGTATTTCTCCTTTTGTGCGCTTTAATATTATTTGGCTAATTTTACGGAAGACAAATGCCAGCTTTAAATTGCCGGGCCTGTCACTTATATGATATCTTGAGTAAGCAAATGTTCATAAAAAAAAACGTATTTCCTAGGGCAAACATCGCAAAATGCTGCTATGAGTACTTTAGCAGAGTTGATAATTTAAGAAATTTCCTATTCAGTCTGTCAAATAATGCTCGAGTACTAAATTTTAAGAAAAAGAGGCCGAGACGATATTATTTGCTTATATCAATGATCTGCGTCATTACACGATACGTTTTTACTCTGCGAAGATCAACAAAGGTTGGTTGCCCACCAAAACCAAACAGTGAGTTATAAACTCGCGGGCTCATCTGTTCTGGCCGATTCGGAACATTGCTAATCAAGCTGTCGATATGCTTCTTTACATTCACATGTTACTGTCTTCATTAGTTTGTTTTTCTGGAAACTGGCGTCATCGGGTACGGCCATACACGATGGTAATCTTCCTTGTACACCAGTCAGGCGTTTCGCAACCGACCATGATCAGATACATCAAAGGAGTTGGTAAAAAAGCCCACAATTTGAGCTAAAATACACCTCGTGGTCATCAAAGTGGCTCAATACTACTGTTTCATTGGTTGTGTGCTACGAGGGAAATAATCGTATCACAAAATTAAGCAAAATCAACGTAAAACAGCAACATAGCCGCGTTCAGTTTGAAACCGAAACCAACCAAATCGAAGCAACCTAATGGCGCCGAGTGCGTCAGCGCCCTCTATCCGCCGGTGACGCAACTACTAAAATGAAAAGGTCTATAGGAAAAGCTCCATTCCTTCGATGTCTCTTTGATAAAGGGGACAACAAGTAAAACCTGGTTTGACTGTCCAGGTGTCACAAAACAATTTTCATCTCCTTGGAGGTGGAAAGTTTCAGTTCACGGCCTTTTTGGTTGCGCTAGTTCTTTCAAAAGGCTAGGCGGAAGGCAGAAGACAATTAGCCTACTTTTTTTTTCTTTTTTTTTTGGGGGGGGGGGATTTTGGATAGTCCAAGTTCGGTGAGTATTACATCTACATAAATCATTAATCTTGTTTGAAACGGGCTTAGAACCAAACCGGGACCTCACCATATATTATGCAATTTTGTTAACTTGTACGAGGAAGCAACATGAAACCATCAACCTATCTGTTTTAGGTGCCAGCCCAAACCTAGTATGAGGTCTTTGTCGAGCATAAAAGAAAAACGAGGGCTTGAGTATGAAACGCATCTGTTTCATTTGAGTGCTCAAATCGTCTAACATAAAATGGTACCCTTTTTTTTCTGTGTTCCTTTCCCTACATTTTTTTTTAGAGACAAGCTCTACCGATATTGCTCTCTATACATTCCCAGGTAACAAACAATATGAATTGTTGCAAGGGACTACCTAGTTTTCTTGTATTGCGTAACACACTGACCAGAGCCAAGCGCCAATGATGGACCGTACAGCACCACTCCCATGTACAGCAGCTGCAAGTGTAAAATCATGGTCAATGTCCGTGCTTGACTTGACATGCGGGAGTACATTTTGAGCGGCAATTTCTACTGAAAAGTATTAGGAATGATGTACGATTAATGATGCTTAATTAGATTAAGAGTGCGCTCTACTAAAAAAATTGCTGTAGAACAAGAGCCACCTCGTCAACGAAGACCTTCACACAGCAGCAAGTACATTCATAAAAATGTTCAGGAAGTGTGCACAAAAGTCATACATCTCATAATCATTTTTGAAAACAAACATGCATGGCTAACATGCACTGATGTACACACGCACACATATAGACGCGCGCACGCGAACGAGAACACATACACACACATGCAGGCGCACACGCGCACACACGCTTTAACTTTCAGATTAACAAACCGGTACGAACTGTACATTCGAGTGTATTAGTACATCATTCCGATACCTCCCATACCCCCGATAACAATACCCGATAAGGATACGATGCATGAGCAAAGGTGGCGGAGGAGTAACAGGTATCGTTATCGGAGTCGTCAAACGATCTACTAAAACTCCCTATTGTACGGTCTTTTGTGCAGTTAAACCCTATTGTTGTGGTGGAGGTCCTGGGGGTGTGCTAACGACCGTAGCGACAAGTCCTTTTCTGCTCCTTACTCAAGCATCCTAAAGAAAAGGCCTCACTCCTGATTTCAGGAAACATGCCTGGTTCCTCATTCATGCTTTTTGGACAGTTTGATTATTCTCTTAGTTCCGTAACACCGCAGAACGGTCATTTAGATTCTTATGAAAACAAGCACGTTAGTTTACCGTTTGAACGATGAAGACGCCGGAAGCCACGTTTCTGACCGCTGTTGAATTGAATCTCCGTTCCAGGTACTGAAAGAACATATATAAGATGAGCATTGGGAATTTCTTGACTTCCTACATAAAACGCAAAGGTACTTTGTTTTTTTATTTTTTCGTTAATGTTGTTCACCATGAAACTTTTATTTGTGACGTGGTGCAACAAACATTTTTCTATGCGGAGTGCAGGTTCGTCTGCTTCTTTTGCAGGGGTTGCGGCGACGTCTAAACGCAGAGTTCTGATTGGCTCTGATTGAAGGATAGTGGGTAGACCTGAAGGCAGCTTGCTTTGAGGTCTACCCACTATCCTTCCATCACAGCCAATCAAAGCTCTGCGTCTTTCTGACGTCACCACAACCTATGCAAAAGAAGCAGACGAACCTGCACTCCGCATAGAAAATGGTCTATTGATGTAAACTAACTGACACTTTTAGCTTGAACACGACAACGGCGCATCTTTCTATTTTATTCGGACAGAGTATTGGCGGACCCGAAACTTTACCACCTTCGTAACTGCCCACCGCCTGCCCCGAGGCAGACTATCTGCCGCGCTACAATGTGTTATAAACGCTCTTATATTTCCGAGAAAAATTTAAAAAAAAATAAAAGAAAAAGAAAACGCAAATGTTCTTCACTAGTTCGTGGTAATTGTGTCGCGCTGTGCATATTTAAAAACAAACGGCCGGACTCCAGGTGCAAACCTCACACAATAGAGTATTTTTGTAGAATTCTGTTTTGATGGAAGCTTGCAGATTCCGAACTAGAGTACAAAAAGGTACGAAGAAAACGCTTCACTCTAACGATTTTTTAACACTAGGTCAAGTACGCCAACTTGACTGTTCAGAACAAAATTGTGTAGTATGCAAAAGTGTATTCTATCTGACTCAAGAGGTTGTATAGAGTTTGTATATGCTTCACAAACTTGTATTCGGGCTTTTTTTCATGTTGATGTACATTTCAAATTGTGTTGCTGTAAACAAGAAATGACAAGTGCACCACACAAAAGGCTCCATAGCTGAAGAAATACAGCAATATTAATATAGCATTGTTAGCATAAAAGAAACTGCTTAGATACCTCTCTAGAAACGTATTAATTTATTTTTTCTTTCCCCTCATGATAGTTTTTTTTTGTTTACAAATTCGAATATTGTTCATTTCTATTCCCGTATTATAAATATAGATTTATATTTTTATATAAAACGATGTGTCCCGAAGTTCTTATCTGAGAAAGTATACACCGCAAGTTTATATGTAATCTGAAAAAATCTGGGCCAGCAGTGAATTTATCAAATTTATATTATGATCGGATCGGTTACAGGGACATATGCTCTCCGTTAAATCGTGCTCCAAAACAATGCAACTTGGAACAAAACTACAAACAATAAAAATATTACGATACCAATTTAATTTTCGTCAGTGTGTCGTTAGTAATGCTTTTCCAATTTTTGTTCGTCTTCGATGTTGGTGTTATTTTTTGTCTTATCTTGCTCCAGTATGTTCAAGACACACATTCTGTGCATAAACCACATTATTTTACGAGAGTAAATACTTTCAGATAGTGTATTATTCAGGTAGAGGACAAAACGCTCGCGGAGAGTATAGTCCCGGACAAAATGGCCCCGGAAAAATGGCCCCGGTCAAAAGGGTCCACGACAGAATGGTCCATGACAGAATGGTCCCCAGCAGGTCCCAAACGCAAACTCAGACAGAATAGTCTGAATCAATTTTTTTTACACTTTGGGCGCTCTTTGAAATTTTGGTACACTACTACTCTGAAGCTTTATTAAACACAAGTTGCAGCAAGTGCAAACATTCGACTAACTCCGAAGAACAAGCAAACTAAGTTTCACGATTTGCTTGGGACCATTTTCCTAGGTTTGCGCTTGTGACCATATTTTTCGGTGCCATTTTTACCGGGACCATTTTATCCGGGGCCATTTTGTTTGGGGCCATTTTGTCTGGATGCCTTATTGTCCATTGTGAACCATATTTAAAATGCCGATCCCGCCGAGCTCTAATGACCAATATGAGCTAATATTTTGAACTTCGGTTCGAACAGGTGATGACATCGTAGGTTGTAACGTTATAACGTTTGTATTTCAAGGCGCCAAATGAATACCTGAAATTTCGTTCAACTTCAACCTTATTTCATAATTTTGTATTGAAATATATAATATGCTTTCCCTTTGTTTCGGATCATTGCATTTGTAAGCTTACGATTGAAATTATACAGGACAGATTTATAAGTTTTTTTGAATAGATGCCGGTATTACTAAGAAAATCCCAGTCCGGGTTTACTTATATTTCATTATCTCGAGATGCTTATTTTTTCTCTTTAAGTATAAATTCTGCCTGATGACGGAACAATTGACACTGAGCAGTCATGAGCACGCGAATCGTCAAACTGTGTCACACCTATACCCCTATAGGGTTTTATGTCTAAAAAAATTTGACCCCGTCATTCACCGAGTTCCTTCTTTAGATTGCAGATACTGACTTTCCAAATGCGTCGTAAAAAAAAGGGTGCGACTCTTTTAAAAGTATCAAGCACGCCATTTTGGCCTCTTTGTGATAGGTATGTAAACAAGACTCTGAGATATTTAGAAGGAGCAAAAAATAATAAACGTTTGTATACCTTCTTCAAAACGAACAAACAGGTAGTTCTCTAAAGCGACGAAACAAAATAAAAAATTTATATATATATATATATATATATATATATATATATATATATATATATATATATATATATATATATTGTTTCTAGCTCAACTGCAATTATTAGCGGCCATATTCTAATGATACAGTAAAAAACAATAACGAGGGTTTCTCTTTTCATAACAATGTACCCGACGTAGAGAATATAACCGACCTACATTCTTCTAGAATCGAGTACCTTGTTCAAAAGAACCGTATAGTTGTTAACTGGAGTTACTTTGTGTTAGCTATATTACAGTTCTGTAAGAGGTTAGGTGATTAGTACGTATAATCTTTGACTTTATGACCCTTGTTATAGCAATTATTTATAATACGTCAAACGGAAGTGTGTGTGAAATTAAAACATCTCTCCCCATTCATACAAAAGTCAGTTATATAATACAGATTCATTCAAAATATGCTTTATAAGAATCAAAACATCTTAGCCAGTGCGATGACTGCAGTTGGTGATTCCTTTAGACATGGTGAAATGTTAAGATGCGTTTTTAATCATCTTTTTTTTAACAATTTGCCTATCAGACTAGCATTTTTGAAAGAACTTTCGTTTCTCAACCGAATCGTGTCGTGGGATAAAAATTTATTTATTTATAGTATTTATAAACGATATGCACAGTGATTATCACCAAATGTGCTTCCAAAAGTTTGTACTTAACTGATTTTGGTACTTTATTGTAGACCATTGAAAGAATCGTATTTAAAAATTAGCGCAAACACAGCCCAGATTGGTCACATAAAATGTGACCAATGTGGGTTGTGTTTGTCCCCACCCCTACCAATTGACAGCAATTCGCCCACATATTTCACAAATCGTAATACAAGAAGCGTAAGAGTTGAGGTATGAAACTAAGCTCTTCGATCATACTCCAGAAAACATGACATACAGTAAATACTATCTTATATATATGTGGTTTGTTACGTTGAGAACAGTTTTCAAAAACCAAAATGAAGTCAAAAGTGCCTTGCAAAATTGCATTGACCCTAGAATTTTTTATGTAACGAATTTATAAACTTTCAATGCTTGGTAAAGATACAATTCTTATGAAAGAATTTTGAGTGCGCACGCAACCTGGCGAATACTTGTCATGACTGAGACTGAGGGCAGCGAAGGAAAATGACGTCATGTATAAATAAAGGACAATAATCAATGTGTTTTCTAACGTAGTTTCTTCTGGCTAACTATGTTGATTAACAACTGATTAATAAAACTTCAAATTTTGTCATTCAGTTCCGCCAAAATCTTCTTAATGGCTTTATACTTTCTTTAATGCTTCAGTACATCGGGTGAACTAGGGCGTTTCTTAAAATAAATGTTACAGGGTTTAGCATGTTTTGTCTTTCACATCACCCCAGCAAAAGCTGATCTTTGTGAAGTACAGTGACAGGCAATATGAGCTGGCCTAGCGGTATTTCGGTCGGGGCGCCACACACGCTCTGTGAGGGGCCCGAATACTTTAAGCTGTTAAAAAGGATTTGGAATAAACGTTCACACTGCCTATTGTCCCAATGTGCCCAGCCTAGTGCCAGCCTTTCGGCTGGCACTAGTTTGGGCTACCTCAAATCGCTAAAGACTGTACAGACCACACCAGTAACACTTCAAACACCGGAATCCAATCGTACCTCGTTGATGCTAGTGATGTCCATCTTGTAGTACATGGGCAGGAACACGTACGCTGCTAAGATGACAGCAATGGTCGAAGAAACGGCACCCATCCACAATGAAGAGCCGTGCACGAACACTTCCGAGGGCAAGCCCAGGATGGCGATGGACGACAGGAAACTCGCCATCATTGACAGGGAGACGGGAACCCATCCGAGCTGCTTGTTGGCCGTCAGAAATGTCTTGTTTGACTGTTGCCGTCTATCCGACCAGGCGAAGAAGACACCGATGGACGTGGACAGTGCCAAGAATCCGATCAGCACAATGTAATCGGCAGCCATGAATCCGTAAACGGCCATGACGAGGAAGTTTATTACTGGTTCCCTCCACGTTTCTTGAGGCCACGTACTTCTGTTACGGTAGTCGGCTCTTCTGACTGGTTTGGCTTCTTCACCACTTTAGACGGTTTATTCCAGCGAAGCTGAGGTGCTCGGAGCTCGTTTAGTCTGAACTGCAAGTGGAGATACAAACGAGATGGTTAGCAAATAAAATAATGCATAATTTGTCTCCGGGTTTAGTTTATGTTGTCAAACTAAGGTCGATGGAGTGATATGATCGAGGTTTCGAAATCGCTTGTACTGCGAAAATACATAAAAAAAAAAATCCGGCTATATAATAAAATATTTTTAAAACGCCTGGCAAGTCCTTTGAGATAAACTTAGCGGACGGATACTGTACAATCAAGATAGATATTATTGACGAAAATAATCCCTGGAGAGGGGGAACAAAAGGGACTTTATAAAGATATTATTTGTTTATCATTATGTAACTACTAACTGTTATTTGAGGTTTTCTTTTTTGTTTCAAGATGAGTCGATTTCGCAAAGTGAAAGTCAATTTCGGTTGAAATTCGGGGAGTATCTGGGGGTCCGTCTTTTCAAGAAGGTATTAATCTCAAATTGGTCTTATTGTGAGATGAAAACCAATGTGAAGGTGGCCGCGGTACAAGGCTCGAAGCTAGTCCGATAAGCACACATTCTTGTTTATCTCAGTTTCGCATCACTAAAAATTGTCTCATGAAAAAACTATTAACTTTTCTATTGTTAATTAGTTTAAGAAAGTTTAAGAAATAATGCTTTGTAGATCTTATTATTGTTATCTTTCAATATTATAAATTTATTTTAAATACTCACATTTTTTCGCTTGTAAAAAAATGGTTTAACAGAAAAAAGGACGATGCGTTAAAGCAAAAGTCCCAGAAACTCCAAATTGCGAAATATTTGAGCAACGCTCGTGGATTATATCACTACTACCCTGACCGTCATTCAAAAACTAAAAGTTAAACTTCAAAAAATAATTATTGTTGGGTAAATAGGCGTAAATATTGCGCATTAACCCTTTTTAAAAGAATATAATTATGTATATTCCCCTAAAGAAAAGACATTTCTGTATATTGCAAACAAGTCATCCAACAAGTTCAGTTTTTTCAGTCTCTTCGAAATTAATAATTTGCTGAAAAAAACACAAAAAAACTATGTTGCATTTTAGCCAATTAATTTATGACCATTAGCATCATCATTAAGAAGGCGGCACTTTATTCATATATATGACACCAGTTTTAAACTCGCCCACATAGTGATTGATATTCCTAGGATTCTGGGGTTGCAACGGTTGACGTTCTTAACATGTCACGCGCGCAAGGCTTAATACTAAAAATTCAATGAAATATCAATTGTTTTGTTAGAAACTTTTGGAGACAAACAAGATCACTTGATCGGTACTTATACCCAGAGGCCGTTTTTTAATCAGCATATAAACAATGGCAACACCTACACTTTTCAATTATAGGCTCTAAATAGAGGAGACTCCGAGGACTTGGCACAATGCAGCTATTATTTAATAAAAACAAGCATTACTAGGCAAGAAAAACCAACAGGTCTTTGAAACATTCGCGCTATCTAGACTCCAATAATTATTAAGCATCTACCATAGGTGAACGGCCCCGACTCTCTCTTTTGTGACTCGATACCGCGGTCGTTCAAAAGGGATACTGCAGAACGCGTGAAGCGGCACTTCTTCGCCATATGCAGTTAAATTTGAAATCCGGCAGTCCGTCTTCTGATCGTACATTCACCATGCAGACATCGAGGCTTTCTTCCTGTCCTCCTCTGCTTTTCTGCGCGACTTTGGTGCTCTTCAGACTTGACGTCGCACGCCACCTGTCACTGGTTTGCCTGTTGCCAGCCCATCTTTTCCGCCGCACCCTTGTATTGTTCCCTTTCAGTTTTCGGGACTTGAACTGCAGCGGAGGCCTTGAGCGATTGACCGACAGCCAATAGAGAGCGTGAGTGGCTGTCCGGACCCACGTGATGAGCATGTTTTAGGCCTCCATAAAGGCCACTAGCAAACATGGTGGAAAGAAGCATTCCCCCCGGCAAAAAACCAACAAAAAAAAAAAAAAAACGGACGGAGGCGGATCCCGCCTTTATGTGACGGAAAAGTCTCACTTCACGCGTGCTTGAAGTGTCCTGCTTGGACAGCCCTTTAATATCCTGCCCCTCGTTTGAAGCGAAAGCTAGCCCACCACTAGTGTACCACTTAAACGCTACAATATAAAGATGGTAAGAAAGTTCACCATTTACTATCAATAGGTGGATATATAGCAGTGATCACGTGCCTTTGATGCAAGAAATAGTTCGCTGTGTGCAGCAGGGATGAAGTTCCGGTGGACAGATGGACGTGAGTGCGAACGGAAGTATTGCCTGGACCTCCTGGAGTCTCTGGGAGCACGCAGACGCCCAAACGACAGAAGGTCGCCTGCTGCACTGACGCTGTTTAGGCGACCCTCGATGGAGATGGGCCAAAGGGACGTCGCTTATCGCCTTCACGCCTGACCGCTCGTGCAATCTGTATACAAAGCTAAGATAACCGACCATTAAGGTTTGGGAGACCTTAACGCGTCTCCACTGCGCTGCTGCGTCGGCCAGCACCTCCGAAGTCTTGCGATAAGGTCGAACGGACGGCTCGCCTCAGGATAAGGATTTGTTAGTTGTACCTTGCGATTAAGTCATCGATCTGAAGTTTCGGTGGTCCTAAATGATGGATTAGAGAGGACATGGCTGGCTATACGCGCGAGTTGCGGCTTTTCCGCGCTCCCATCGCCAGATGCACTCCGAGAGGAATCTAATGTTGTGATTCCCCTCTGAGATTGATTGCTCTCCCAGTTTGCGTTCCCACGTTCACCCCCCCCCCCCCCCCCTAAATCGTCGGCGCGAAGTGAATGATGCCACAGCTCTTGCTGATTTTGCAGTCAGCGGTGTAAACGATAGTACACAGCGAGAGACTGCCCACTGGAACAAACCATCAAAGAGGGACGACCAACATAATAAATGTCTAGAAGTGCCAAGAAATACACTCATAGCGTGGAGGAGTTGGGTGCAGTAACGAACGAAATTGAATTGGATTGGGTTTTTGCGGCGCAAAAGCATCTAAGGCTTTAATACGCCAGGTACATAAACCGTTACCGAAAAGGGTTAGGGAGACGAAAGAGCTCTAGTAGTAGATTATATGATAAAACTATGAGCATGAGGTCTGTATAAGTATAAAGGTATGGACATCACTCCTTGTATAGCTGCGAAAGATGGTCAAGGCGTTCTGGGTCATACGCATTACATTCAAGTAAAATATGATGTATGGTTAGATGGCTATGGCAATGCTTACACTCCGGGGAATCTTCGCCGCGCAGAAGATTCCCGTGCGTTAGTCGTGTATGGCCAATCCTTAGACGGCAGAGAACCACCTCGTAGAAACGTTCGCGATGCCGGGCACTCTCCCATTCCTTCAGTAAGTGCGCTTCACCGCATGTAAATTCTTATTTACTTCGCGGTCCCATTCATGTTGCCATTTCTGCATTATGAAACGTTTCACCTTCTTACGGTAATTTTTTGGTGGTATTTATCTTGTGTAAACAATATTTGTGACGGCAGAGCGAGCAGCCTGATCTGCCTCCTCATTACCCGGGATGCCAATGTGACTTGGCACCCAGCAGAAAAAATTTCGTACCCAGTTTTGATGGCTGATGCTACCTTATCTTGCAGCTGAGCCACCAAAGGATTTATGACTAAATTTAGTGAAACAAGGGCTTTTAATGCACTTAAAGAGTCCGTGTACACTACGGAGTGACGAAGCATTTTTTAACTGTATATTCCACAGCAAGTAATAAACCACGCAACTCTGCCATTAAATTTGTGGCGGAAGGGTTAAGCTTCTTTACATGGCAAACAGATGGTCCAACCATTGCACAACCAACAAAAGAATCTGTTTTAGTGCCATCTGTGTAAATGCTGAAGTGGTGTTGGTACTGGCTTTGTATTTCAGAAAATTCTTGCCTCAGCACTTCATCCGGAGTATCTTTCTTTCTGTGTTTTGTCAAAGTGAATAAGGTAATAGTCACAAGGAGCTGCAGAGCTTATGTAATTTCTCACAGGGGGCTTTGGGTCAAGGTCAAAATACTCTGCTCCCTTAGCATGCCTCAAAGCAAAGGGAGGGACGATACTTGTCTTATTTTGAAAAGCCCTCTCAAACTTGATTTCTTCAACCGAGTCGAGAGCTGGATGGAGAGGGACTGATCTTACTCGGAGTGAATACATAAACCCCAAGACGAAACGTCTTTTCTCTAGAGAATATTCATTAGCCTCTGCATAGAGGCTGGCAATTGGAGAAGTGCGGAAATCACCGGTGGCTAGCCGTCGCCCCTAATTATGAATGGGATCCAACATCTTCAATGCTGGAGCTTTGGCTGAACTATACACAAAACTGCCATGATCGAGTCGGGAGCGTACTACCGCACGATAAATGCGGAAGAGTCGATCAGAGCCCCAAGATTGATGGGACGACACTTTGAGAATGCTGAGTGATTTGATGCATTTTGACTTTAATTGCTTAATGTGCGAAACAAACGATAACTTTGAATCTAAGAGAAGACCTAGAAAGGTGTGTTCACTTTTCGCCGCGATAGGAAGTCCATAGATGGTTTAGGAGGGTTCTAGAAAAAATTCTCACCGACGAGAAAAGCATACACAGACAGTTTTTTCTGTAAACACTTAAAACCATTTGTATTAGCCCAGCTTGTCAAATTATTGGTGCACTTGAACCCTCCTCTCACAGATAGAAAGATTGCATGATGATACGGAAACCAGGAGGTCATCAACGTAGATAAAATACTGAACTGAACGAGGTATTACAAGAGCAATGGAGTTCATGTTTATAATAAAAAGGGTGACGCTGAGTACACCACCCTGGGGAACTCCGTGCTCTCGCAAAAAAATCTCGAGAGAAGGTGGTACCCAGCTTTGCACGAAATGAACGGCACTCTAGACAACTTTTAATGGCGCCAAGCATGCGCCTACGGATACCAATGTCGACTGGGCGCTTTGGAACACTGCAGGATCCTGCAGTGTTCCAAAGCGCCAGGCAGTATCATAAGCATTCTCCAGATAAAAAAACACAGAAAGACCTAGCTATTTTTTTCACAAGCGCCTCTCTCACGGCTGTCTCAAAACGAACCAAGTGGTCTACTGTGAATCGGGAAGATCTAAAGCCGCACTGGTATCTGTCTAGACTGTTGTTATTTTTAAGATAATGCATAAGCCTTCTGTTGATCATTCTTTCAAGAGTCTTTGATAAACAACTCGTCGAAGCTATAGGCCTGTAGCTAGATGCACATGAAGGATTCTTTCCTGGCTTTAGTAAGGGAACCACAAAGGCAACCTTCCAAGCAAACGAAAAATGGATTTCAGACGAAATTTTATTTAAAAGGCTAAGAAGGATGAAGATGTTGCAGCATAATTTAATGGACTCCGTCTGGGTCGGGTGTAGTCTTTTTAGGGCAGTGACGAACCACTTCTTCACTGAAGTGGAGCAAAAAAGCGGCCCAAAACCAATCGTCAGCGTCATCGCTACCGCAGCGCGACTTTGTTTTGCGCGGCGAAACACTAAGTTGATAAAATATTAAAGACACATTTTCGGTGTTTAATATAATTTACTTTAAATCAGAGTATTATTTATTCATAATAAATTAGTTTACAATTGTTCAGTTGGGTGGATTTTTTAGTTAGCGTTTAATATGTATTATGTTGTCCACACTCGTTGCGATCTCTACAATGTCGCTATTACGGGTGTTTACTCCGTCGGCCGAAGTTCGCAGCCGTGATGCGCCTCGTGTTTGCATTGTTTGCGTTTGTCAGTGTGCCTGCATTTCCGTAGCTCCCGTCAAAATTTAACTTTGCAATCGTTTAACGATTCGTGGTCTTAAGTTTTCTCACGTATCCGAATGCAGAATGGTTTGTACTGGTTAAAACCAATTGTGCCGTTCTGTGAGTTTTGTCGTCGAGGGTCCGCCGGGCGCGTTCAAGGCTCCGTTCGTTAGGACGATGAGCCTGCCGCATGTAAAGAGACGCTGCTCGGTAGCGCGATGTCCAAGTGATGACTGCACCGCTGGCATCACACTTCGTCGTTTTCCTGTGGACTCTGCAAGGTGAAACTTGTAGCAGCTGTGTCCGCTGCAACTATGTGTGATGTCCTGATGTCCATTGTCCGGTGATGTCTGGTAAGCCCTTGACCTCTTCTATGGGGCCTCGTGCATATCATGCATGCTCATTTAGTAAGAGGCACCCGTTGATCGAGCGTTTTTGAGCACAGTCTTCGTTTTAAGCTGCGCGAGACGAAACTAATCTCAGATGTTAGTGGCAGATTTGCGTGGCCTCTGCTGCACGGCTGCGTGACCACAAAAACCTAATAAGAAACAATGACTGAACATTTCAGTTTTAACAAACTTTCATATTATGGTGTGAATAACACTAAAACATCCTTTCTGCTTGAAACGTGGTTGGTGTCGTCCTTCTAACATGCTGGCGACTATCAGGCCTACTTGCTGTGGATGTGCTCGGGAATCTCGTAGTGTAATCGTCTGCGTTGTGAACCTACCTAACCTCACGGGCGCAGAGGTGTGCTCCGTGCCCATGCCGTTCGCTGGACCCAGACGGAAAACCAGGTACAATGATGCCACCAGTTTATCGCTAACATTATTGTTTAATCTTGTTTCTTTCTTAAATGTCCACTGAAGGCATTTCGGCCTGTTCAGTTTAGCCAAGGGTATGTAAAGTAATACACTGCTTCACATTCAGGCGGAGGGTCTGGGTTCAGTTCTGCCGGGACACAAGCCTACAGAACAAGACACCACAGCAGCTGCGCGAACGGGCGGTATGCTCCGGGCACTTCAAGCCCTCTGCATTTCTTTATCGAGGAAGGCTGCGTCGTGATGTAATACCAGCATATTTGACCACTGAAGGTGAGCACGAAATCTTGTTTTCATTATTACTGACAACATAAGCTTATTCAGAAGGTATTTTGCATGCAGATAAAAAGAACTGTTCCAGAGTACATAACGCGTGTGCCTAACTTTGCAAAGGAACTTTGCATAGGTGCCGAAGATGTCCAGAGCAGCAGCCCTGGCCAATTGATCAGCGAGGGCGAGCCCACACCGGCCAGCAGCAGTAGCATCGGTGCGCCCACATCATCACGGTGTCACACGCAAGGCACTACGGAACAAGGTAAAAGCAATTGCATATTGGCAGAGAAGTGTTGCAGGCTATGTTTCTTAATTTCGGACCCTCGCGTAGTAGCCATCCTTTCAATGATAGAGTGTGTTCCCAGTACTTTTGCTTTCTTGGGAAACATGCAAAGCATGTATGACCATGTTTTTAATCTAGCTTGTCACATGCCGCAGGAACATCCTGAAACAATGCAATGACTGATATTTTTGACAGATTTTTTGTTTGCCTCGTCATTGCTTTGCAGATGTGGGAAGCAGTCTCACGGCTGTGACCTGTAGCTCGAAGACTAGCACTTCAATCAG